AAACCTGGTCAAGACCTACAGGAAATGTAAGATCTCTGTAATTGCAAACAAAGGTTTTTGTACCAAATATTAAGTTCTGCTTTTCTGATGTATCAAATACTTATGTCATGCAATAAAATGCAAATGAATTACTTAAAAATCATACAATGTGTTTTTCTGGATTTTTGTTTTAGATTCCGTCTCTCACAGTTGAAGTGTACCTATGATAAAAAATTACAGACCTCTACATGCGTTGTAAGTAGGAAAACCTGCAAAATCGGCAGTGTATCAAATACTTGTTCTCCCCACTGTATATCTGATGAGCCTAATATCAGATTTGTGAATTCGTATGATTTTCTAGAGCTTGTTTTGTATCAGAGAAACACACAACAACAGGTAAAATACAAAAGTTTAATAATAAAAAGAGTAAAATGATTACACGATGAATGATGATAATGGCACATGATCGATACACGAGAAAATTATTAATTCAATAGGTTACCAGTAAATTGATAGAGGATGATATTCTCAATTTGGATAGAGTGACTTTTACACACTCAAGAATACACTTAACAGGTCACGCCGGTGCATACTGCGAAAGAGTATTGTCCATTAATTTTTCATGGAGGAAGCGACTTAAAAGGGGAAAGTAGTGGTTCAGTTCTAATGTTAAAGTTATGCAGTTACTCAACGTTAACCTAAAGAGCTACACATTACACATCATGCCAATGCAGGGAAGAGAAAGGGCAATTAGACAGTGTTGTAAAGTACTTAAGTAAAAATACTTTAAAGTACTACTTAAGTCGTTTTTTTGGATATCTCTGCTTTACTTTGCTATTTATATTTTTGACTACTTTTACTTTTACTTCACTACACTCCTAAAGAAAAGTATGTACTTTTTACTCCATACATTTTCCGTGACACCCAAAAGTACTCGTTACATTTTGAATGCTTAGCAGCACAGAAAATTGTCCAATTCACACACACAATCAAGAGAACATTCCTGGTCATCCCTACTGCCTCTGATCTAGCGGACTCACTAAACACAAATGCTTTGTTTGTAAATTATGTCTGAGTGTTGGAAGTGTGACCCTGGCTATCTGTAAAAAATAATATATATACACTACCAGTCAAAAGTTTGGACACACCTACTCATTCAAGGGTTTTTCTTTATTTTTACTATTTTTTTTACATCTTAGAATAATAGTGAAGACATCAAAACACATATGGATTAATGTAGTAACCAAAAAAGTGTTAAACAAATGAAAATATATTTGAGATTTGAGATTCTTCAAATAGCCACCCTTTTCCTTGATGACAGCTTTGCACACTCTTGGCATTCTCTCAACCAGCTTAATGAGGTAGTCACCTGGAATGCATTTCAATTAACAGGTGTGCCTTCTTAAAAGTTAATTTGTTGAATTTCTTTCCTTCTTAATGCCTTTGAGCCAATCAGTTGTGTTGTGACACGGTAGGGGTGGTATACAGAAGATATCCCTATTTGGTAAAAGACCAAGTCCATGTTAAAGCAAGAACAGCTCAATTAAGCAAAGAGAAACGACATTCCATCATTACTTTAAGACATGAAGGTCAGTCAATACGGAACATTTCAAGAACTTTGAAAGTTTCTTCAAGTGCAGTTGCAAAAACCATCAAGCGCTATGAATAAACTGGCTCTCATGAGGACCGCCACAAGAATGGAAGACCCAGTGCTACCTCTGCTGCAGAGGATAAGTTCATTAGAGTTGCCAGCCTCAGAAATTGCAGCCCAAATAAATGCTTCACAGAGTTCAAGTCACAGACACATCTCAACATCAACTGTTCAGAGGGGACTGTGTGAATCAGGCCTTCATGGTTGAATTGCTGAAAAGAAACCACTATTAAAGGACACCAATAATAAGAAGAGACCTGCTTATGCCAAGAAACACGAGCAATGGACAGTAGACCGAGTCCAAATTTGAGATTTTTGGTTCCAACCGCCGTGTCTTTGTGAGACGCGTGTGGGTGAACGGATGATCTCCGCATGTGTAGTTCCCACCGTAAGGCATGGAGGAGGAGGTGTTATGGTGTGGGGGTGCTTTGCTGGTGACACTGTCTGTGATTTATTTAGAATTCAAGGCACACTTAACCAGCATGGCTGCCACATCATTCTACAGGGATATGCCATCCCATCTGGTTTGGGCTTAGTGGGACTATCATTTGTTTTTCAAAAGGACAATGACCCAACACACCTCCAGGCTGTGTAAGGGCTATTTTACCAAGAAGGAGAGTGATGGAGTGCTGCATCAGATGACCTGGCCTCCACAATCCCCCGACCTCAACCCAATTGAGATGGTTTGGGATGAGTCGGATGGCAGAGTGAAGGAAAAGCAGCCAACAAGCTCAGCATGTGGGAACTCCTTCAAGACTTTTGGAAAAGCATTCCAGGTGAAGCTGGTTGAGAGAATACCAAGAGTGTGCAAAGCTGTGATAAAGGCAAAGGGTGGCTATTTGAAGAATCTCAAATATAAAATTGATTTTGATTTTGTTTAACACTTTTTTGGTTACTACATGATTCCATATGAGTTATTTTATAGTTTTGATGTCTTCACCATTATTCTATAATGTAGAAAATAGTCAAAAGAAAGAAAAACCCTCTAGTGAGTAGGTGTGTCCAAACTTTTGACTGATACTGTATATTGTGCCGTCTGGTTTGCTTAATATAAGGAATTTTAAATTATTCGTACTTGTACTTTTACTTTTGATACTTAAGTATATTTTAGCAACTACATTTACTTTTGATACTTAAGTATATTTAAAACCAAATACTTTTAGACTTTTACTCAAGTAGTATTTTACTGGGTGACTTTCACTTTTACTTGAGTCATTTTCTATGAAGGTATCTTTACTTTTACTGAAGTATGACAATTGGGTACTTTTTCCAACACTGCAATTAGCTGTATAGTTACACTCAATAGATGGATTGGGGGTCTTTGGTCAATCTGACAATGAGTCGGATTCACGCAAGCTCGGATATCAGATTCCTGGGAGGTTGGGGAATCCGAGTAGTCCTGGGCTTTGCAAGGCAGAACAGAGTCCAACATTGGTTTGGCGAGGAATGCTAGCATTCGTGGTCGTTGACTGATACAGTATCTAGACGGGATCAGTCGGATGCAAGCTGGTGATCCAGAATCCTTAGCTCGGCTTCAATGGCAATAGGACAACTTGCAAGATTCCTTGATAGTCATTTCTGAAAGCCAAAGAATTCACTGGAACTGAGGTGTGAAACATTCCTCAGTTATTTTAATCCCTCCATTTGAGGGGAGTGTACAAAATGTCCCGCCAAACCATCTGACCCTGCTGATTGGTTCAAGCGCGAAAAGGGGGAGAGAGTCATCCAAGCCTCCCCTGACCTCTCCTAGGGTTGGCATGTTTGTGCCAATTTGAGAAAGTATCCATAGCATGTTCTTCATGTACCGTACACTCACAGAAGCAGTCCAATAGTGAATGAAATGGAGTTTGCATTCAATAGGCACCAAACTCATTGTACTCATTGTATGGTTACTTGTAATAAGCATATTACACCTTGTAATAACATAGGAAAAACTAAATCATGTCACACAACATAATTTACACTAAGCCCAACATTTTGTCAGTCCTTCATGTTTGATGTGCTGTTAGAAAGGTGTTTTAGATGACCTCTTGGTCCATTGTTGAATGAGTAGGCCTATTTTCTTTTAAAAAAAGGTTAGCTACTTTCTGTGGTCAAGAGGGGTTGATAGGCCCCTGTCCAGAAAAAGGGGGTTGTGCTGATGTGATGTGAGGGTCCATTCCTACAGTATGTTTGATGCTGAAAGCTATCCTTATCCATTTTTTTCAGGAGTTGAAAGCTCCCACCACCGGAATCAACACGGAGGGAGTGGAGGCCACAGCCACATCATGGAAGTGGTATGCAGTGATGGATGAGGCGCTGGGGCTGCCACTCCATCACCCCATAGGTCATCATCTCCTCATCCTCCCTAGGTGCAGCTCTGGGCTCCTCTCTCTTCCAGAAGGGTTCAGATGTAGACGCTGGAGAAGGAGCGAGAGAAAGAGGTGACTGTCAGGGTGACACACCTTATGGCCATTTTAGAGGCCATGATTAAGAATTTGTTTTATGGCTATTATTTATTCATTTGTGCTGTTTTTGGTGAAGTCCTTTTTTTAAAACCCAAAGTGGATTTCTGTTCTTATTGAAAAGTGTTTATTGTTTGTATTCAAACAAAATATTTGATATCGGTACATCTACCGTTCGTGTATTTTATTTTCAACATTTCAACATAAAAAAAAATCACTCACACATTTGAGCTATCTTGCTGCATGTGCATGGTAACAATAAGTAAAGTTGAAAGAAAAAAGAAACCCGCACACTGCTCTTGGCCTTCTTCAGAGCTTTTTGCTCTAGTAAACTAAATAAACCATCTTTGGTACAATAATAATAGCTTTAATTTCTATAGCGTTTTCCTACAATCTCAAAGCGCAACAAAAGCAAAAAAAATAAGCAAGCAATACATCTTCATGAGTAGCTATAGTTGGCTAGGTCAACCAATAGAGGCCAAGTCTTTGAGTGCATGCATCCGCCAAAGATGGAGAGGGACAGTTCATGGCTTGATCAAATGAAGGTAGTCAGAGAGATGGTTGATGAAGATGGAGTCTGGTGACGATCGTGTAGACACTGGATTTCTCCTTCACAATGTGTGGCATCCACTTGGGTGATGCCTCAGCAGCTCTGGGCGCCAAAAGCTCAGCACACACAGTTCAGAGTAGTTGCAGGCGCAAGATTGCAGTCAGTGCAGATGCGGTTTTTGGTAGCTGAAAGAATTATTGGATTTCCTCACCCAAATATGACAATTTGGTCATTTCTAAGGTCATAAAACCCTGTATGAATATGGTTTAGTTAGTTTACCAAGGTTTCTGCAAGTTATTCACCTCTAAAACTCTTAAGTTAGCGACAACATTAGATAACCAGATTAGCTAGCTAGCTCAAAAAGTAGCTTGTCTACATGGAAACTTCTACGACCAGAACCAAAAGAAAAGAAATTGAGAAATCATCAGATGGACAATTAACAGCAAAATATGGTATGGTCTTGGGTACTCCTCTTCAGAATGTAACTGTGGGGGGAAATACTGCTGTTGGTGATGAAACATTTGTGTGCATGGACAACAATGCTGACAACCTGCGCCTGCCCAAGCTCAGACTGTTACCTTACGACCCCGGAACTCCAGTCAAGCCCCAGGGTAAAACAATTTGAGGGTAAGAGGGTGTGTCACTTCTTGAGATGCAAAACAATTTTGTGATGCTTTTGACAGCAAAAATAGATGAAAGGGCAGATGGCTTGGAGGACATGGTTAGGAGGAATATGATGAAAATTGAGGCCATAAAAAATCTGTTGACTTTATCTCTGGAGAAGTGAAAACCCTCAAAAGTGACATGAAGAAGGTGGAAGTTATCTGCCAGGAAAATGAAAAGAAGGTGGCTGAACTCGAGCAAGAGGTGGAGAGATACCAGCGCAGGTGGAACCTGAGGCTCCAAGGAATTCCAGAGCAGGCAGGTGAGGACATCAAATGAAGAGTTGTTAACATCTGTGGAGCTGTCATTCCCAAATAAAAAGCCAAACTTCAGGAAAATGTGGACATCGTTCATTGTTTATGAAGACTCAAGGATCAAGACAAGAGTCTGAGGACAACCATCATCCGGTTCACCAACAGATTTACACTTGATCTTCTCTGGAGGCGAGCAATGAACTGTGAGTTCCTCATCAAGCAAAAATGTAGGTTCACGGAGGATCTGAGCTCTGTGGACAAAGTGACACGGGAGAAACTGTGACCGATGGTGGCTGCAGCTCAAAAGGCAGGGAAATTTGTCAGTGCAAATGTGACCATCAATGGGAAAGAAACCCAAATCAGAACTTTTGGACAGAACTGGTAGGCCTAAACACTGCCTAATTGCCAGGTGAAAAGCATCCTTTTATTGTAAAAAATTTACACAAACACTTGAATGAGAAAAGGCTGACCTGAAAACTGGTAAACTAACGCTAATTACAGTTGCTTGCGAAAGTATTCACCCCCCTTGTTATTTTTCCTATTTTGTTGCCTTACAACCTGGAATTAAAATTGATTTTTGTGGGGTTTGTGTCATTTGATTTACACAACATGCCTACCACTTTGAAGATGAAAAATATTTTTTGGTGTCTTCACCAATTTGGACTATTTTGTGTATGTCCATTACATGAAATCCAAATAAAAATCCATTTAAATTACAGGTTGTAATGCAACAAAATAGGAAAAACGCCAAGGGGGATGAATACATTTGCAAGTTACTGTATGGATGAATAACTGCTTATTGTAAGGTCTACACAATGGGAGTAAGAATACTTTGGGGGGAGGGGGGGTTAATAATGGGATGGAACTCCTTTTTAATTACATATCCTTCGGAAAAGCTCACATTAGCATAACAAGGTTGTTGGTTGAAGTTTATGTCTTCATCTCTTTGTTAATTTAATACCAGCGATATTCGTGATTTACTCAAACGTAAGGCTATTTTCCTGTATTGCAAACGGTTGAATGCAGACTTTTACTTTCTACAAGAGACTCATGCTTGTTCTTCTAGTCAAGCTTTTTGGAAAAATCATATAGCTATTTGGTTATCATATGGCAACAACCACTCTGCAGCTGTAGCAGTTTTAAGAGGGGCATTCAAAGGGAAGGTCATCAGTAGTAAGAATCACCACTCTGGACGTTGGTTAATTTTAGTAAAATGTTTTTATTAGGGAATATCTATGCATCCAACAACAAACAAAACAACATGATATTATTTCAAGAATTTGAAGAAGAGATTAATAGAGTTAAAGGTGTATTTCAGGATAAAAAAAGTATCTTAGGTGGAGATTTTAATTCTGTGTCTAATGTGATGATTGACAGATATTCCCCTCTAATAGATCCAGAATTGTTAATCCTGAGTTTAATAATCTATTTATTTTTCTGGGATAATTAGATATTTGGAGATGTAAATATCCTGATAAAAGGACTTCACCTGGTGTAACAAGGACATGTCCAGACAGTCAATAATTGACTTCTGGTTGATTTCTAATTCATTAGATAACACTGTAGTCAAGGTATCCATTGAACAATCAATTCTTACTGATCATACATTTATATTCTTATCTTTAAATATTAATGGCTCTGAAGTTAATAAACCGGACTAATTGGAAACTCAATAGTAGACTGTTGGAAGATGATAATTTCAAGATGGATGCCGAAGATATTATACAAGAAAATTGGAGGAAAGCCCAACTATTTATGTCTTCTGGGAAATATTGGGAATTAATGAAGTATGAAATAAGACAAACAGCCATGAAGAGAGGTGAAGAAATTGCTGAACTTAAAAGATTGAGGGAAGAGAAACTTGTTAAGGAAATACGTTCTCTAATCTCTATAGAGGACCTTGATGAAGAAGGAAAATTTCAGTTATTTTCTTTACATCAAGAAGGAGATGGTTGGAGGAAGGTGAAAAAACACAAAATACTTTTACAATTTAGAAGAAGAAAAATCTGAATTGACCTCTATTCAAAAGCTTAATATAGATGACAAAGAAAACGAAAACCCCAAAGAGATTTCAAAATATGTTTCAGAATTCTATGGTAATCTTTACACCAGTAATGCCTGTCCTACTAGTGACCTGTCTGCATTTCTAGACTCTGTCAAAGACTCTGTAAAATTAATAGATGAAGACTTCCAAAAACCTGTATTTCTATCAATGAAATGAAATGAAATAAATAAAATTATCAGCAAGTTAAAAGAGTACAAATCTCCAGGGAATGATGGCCTTATTAGTGAATTCTATAAACAATTTCAGGAGGATATTGTTGAATTTTTATTTAATGTCTTTAAGGAGGCAATTGATTTAGGGGTCCTGCCTGTTTCTATGACACAAGGCCTCATTTCTGTAATCCCCAAACCAAACAAAGATCCTATGATGTTAGAAAATTGGAGACTAATCACATTAATGAACAATGATGGAAAGCTACTTGCATCCATCTTAGCAGAAATACTTTAAAAAAGGTATTGATGATACCCAGTCTGGTTTTATGAAGGGCAGACATATATGTAATAATATCCGACTAGTATTGGACTTGATAGACTACAATGAGCACATTATGGAAAATAGCTTTATTTTATTTGTAGACTTTTACAAGGCTTTTGATACAGTTGAACACTATTTTATTTTTGAGATTCTTACATTTTTTGGTGTTTGTCAATATATTCAAAGTGTAATCAAGACACTTTATAATAATAGTAACAGCTCTGTTAAATTATCTCATGGTTTGATATTAGACGCGGAATTAAACAACAATGCCCAATTTCTCCTTTCTTATTTATATTGGTCACACAAGTTTTGTCACTTCATATCAATAAGGATCGTTTTAAGGGTATTCAGATACAAGAACAATAAACTGTTCACAATTGGCTGACGACACCCCCATTTAAAAAAAATATCCTAATTATGTCAGGAAAGCTATTGAGTGTATTAATGCCTTCTCACATGTATCTGGTTTATCTCTGAATATTAGGACATTTGAATTATTTGCGTTGAAAAGATACAGTGGCTTGCAAAAGTATTCACCCCACTTGGCATTTTTCCTATTTTGTTGCCTTACAACCTGGAATTAAAATAGATTTCTGGGGGGGTTTGTATCATTTGATTTACACAACATGCCTACCACTTTGAAGATGCAAAATAATTTTTTTTGTGAAACAAACAAGAAATAAGACAAAAAAACTGAAAACTTGAGCGTGCATAACTATTCACCCCCCCCCCCCCCCCAAAGTAAATACTTTCTAGAGCCACCTTTTACAGCAATTACAGCTGCAAGTCTCTTGGGGTACGTCTCTGTAAGCTTGGCACATCTAGCCACTGGGATTTTTGCTCATTCTTCAAGGCAAAACTTCTCCAGCTCCTTCAAGTTGGATGGGTTCCACTGGTGTACATCAATCTTTAAATCATACCACAGATTCTCAATTGGATTGAGGTCTGGGCTTTGACTAGGCCATTCCAAGACATTTAAATGTTTCCCCTTAAACCACTCGAGTGTTGCTTTAGCATTTATTTACATTTTAGCAGACGCTCTTATCCAGAGCGACTTACAGTTAGTGAGTGCATACATTTTTAAATCTGGCCCCCCGTGGGAGTTGAACCCACAACCCTGGCGTTGCAAGCGCCATGCTCTACCAACTGAGCTACAGGAGGCTACAGTATGCTTAGGGTTATTGTCCTGCTGGAAGGTGAACCTCCGTCCCGGTCTCAAATCTCTGGAAGACTGAAACAGGTTTCCCTCAAGAATTTCCCTGTATTTAGCGCCATTCATCGTTCCTTCAATTCTGACCAGTTTCCCAGACCCTGCCGATGAAAAACATCCCCACATCATGATGCTGCCACCACCATGCTTCAATGTGAAGATGGTGTTCTCGGGGTGATGAGAGGTGTTGGGTTTGCTCCAGACATAGCATTTTCCTTGATGGCCAAAAAGCTAAATTTTAGTCTCATCTGACCAGAGTACCTTCTTCCATATGTTTGGGGAGTCTCCCACATGCGTTTTGGTGAACACCAAACGTGTTTGCTTATTTCTTTTTTAAGCAATGGCTTTTTTCTGGCCACTCTTCCATAAAGCCCAGCTATGTGGAGTGTACGGCTTAAAGTGGTCCTATGGACAGATACTCCAATCTCCGCTGTGGAGCTTTGCAGCTCCTTCAGGGTTATCTTTGGTCTCTTTGTTGTCTCTCTGATTAATGCCCTCCTTGCCTGGTCCATGAGTTTTGGTGGGCGGCCCTCTCTTGGCAGGTTTGTTGTGATGCCATATTCTTTCAATTTTTTAATAATGGATATAATGGTGCTCCGTGGGATGTTCAAAGTTTTTGATATTTTTTTATAACCCAACCCTGATCTTTACTTCTCCACAACTTTGTCCCTGACCTGTTTGGAGAGCTCCTTCGTCTTCATGGTGCCGCTTGCTTGGTGGTGCCCCTTGCTGAGTGGTGTTGCAGACTCTGGGGCCTTTCAGAACAGGTGTATATATATACTGATATCATGTGAAAGATCATGTCACACTTTATTTAACTAATTATGTGACTTTTGAAGGTAATTGGTTGCACCAGATCTTATTTAGGGGCTTCATAGCAAAAGGGGTGAATACATATTTACGCACCACTTTTCCGTTATTTATTTTTTTCTTTTCACTTCACCAATTTGGACTATTTTTTGTATGTCCATTACATGAAATCCAAATAAAAATCAATTTAAATTACAGGTTGTAATGCAACAAAATTGGAAAAACGCCAAGGGGGATGAATACTTTTGCAAGGCACTGTACAACTTCAACTCAATATGTAATATCCCTGTAAAAGATGTGATCACATATTGTCACGCCCTGACCTTAGAGATCCCTTTGATTCTCTATTTGGTAAGGTCAGGGTGTGATTTGGGTGGGCATTCTAGTTTTTCTATTTCTTTGTTGGCCGGGTATGGTTCCCAATCAGAGGCAGCTGTCTATCGTTGTCTCTGATTGGGGATCATACTTAAGCAGCCTTTTTCCACCTTAGTTTGTGGGATCTTGTTTTTGCATAGTTGCTTTGTAGCCTGCTGAACTTTACGTTTGTGTGTATTTTGTTGTTTTGTCTGTGTTTATTTAATAAATGAAAATGTTCGCCTACCACGCTGCACCTTGGTCCGAGCCTTCAATCAACGAGCGTGACACATATCTTGTTATTAAAGTTAGCAAAATCAGAAAGAAAAGGCCAACTTAAATGTCTCTCCTATTGTAGAGAAAATTGGAAAGAGATTTAACTCCAGGTTATTAAGAGATCTTTATTTTATCTGGACGTGTACTTTTTTCAAAATCTGAAGGTCTTTTTTTTTTACCTCCCTTGGC